ACACAGCCTCTTCCCAATATGCGTTTTTGCAATTTACATATATGCAAAAACGCATAAAAACCAAAATCGGGCTTGTTAATTTCTTTCGGATCAAGAAAATTTCCGAATTTGATAGCACCAATGAATTTATTGTTGCTGTCATCAGTACCGGAAGTTTTGCAGTATGAATAACTTAATCGAAAGCGTACCGGCTGCCGGTACGAGGATGCTTTTTTTGCGTAGTTCCCCCGCAGGTTTTTTTCGCCAGTGGCACGTTTTTCCCGACAGATTCTTCTAGCTAAAAGAATTGTGACTGGCCACCATTGTTAGAAATTATTACAATGACACCCAATTTATGCCCAAAAAAATCAGCGCTCTGGATGCTTCGGTTCAGTTACGCCAAATTTCACGCGTTCGTACATGAGTAGAGCAACGTGAGTGATTTCTTTGCCCTCGGTTGGTCAAACACGGCCCTGGGTAATACTCAGAAAGTTTCAGCACTCCAGCTGCTCTAGTTGCGAAATTACGTCAAATTTCACGTGTGTACACGTGTTCGTACGTGAGATGCGGAAGAGCTGACAAGTAACTTACTTTCACGGACACAACAGCGGGCAGCAAGTAAAGCTGCAAAATTCCAGCTCTCTGCAGCTTATTGATCACCTTAAATTTGGAGTTTGCATGATGCCAGTTTAAACTTTGACGCGTGCGTACGTGAGTCTGAGGGTGTATGAAGGCTAAATTTGAAATGTTTGGATTAGACGCGGCCAAGGAACAACTCTGTGAAGTTTCAGCCTCCTAGCATGAGCGTTTCCGAAAACACTTTCCCGCCATAAAAACTTTCACTTGCCCCTATGTGAGAACCACGCGGACCTAAGCGTCCATTTTGAGAATACGAGCCTGCACTTGTGTGTAGATTAAGTCTTCAAATTTTCAGCCTTGTAGCTTTTTTGGATTTCGAGATGAAAACTCGTTAGAGATGCACACACAGACACACATACACACATACATATACACACAGACAACCCCTCGACAATATGCGTTTTTGCATTGCATAGCTGCAACGCATAAAAACTATGCAGGAGAAATTGGATGAAAGGCGAGCAAAATGATAAAAAAAAATCATCTAATATAAGCTTAAATTAGAAGGGAGGCTCGAACACTAATCAAGAACGGAAACTAGTTTAGTTTATTCAAAATTAAAGCCAAAAAGCTAGTAATTACCTAGAGTGATCCAGAATCCATCCAGCAGTGCAGTAAAACTAGCTGTGAGGCTTAAAGTAATTAAAATGAGCTGATTGAGTCCGGGGGCCTTAACACTTGTATTACTGCACTAGACTGGGCCACACTTGAACAAGGGCGGTTTTATAAGAAACTGTTCTGATTCTGAAGGACATTATCAGTGGACAACATCATTTCGTGTTTTCTGGCTTTGTCGAAGTAGCGTTCATTGTTTTTTTGTTAAATGAGAAATTCTCAGCCAATTTTATTTGTTCAGATAGATAAATTTTTATTAGTCAGCCTTTAGCGATCTGTGATGGTAGCTGTTCTAACACTGTCTAATGCGGAAGCAACAGAATTTGGTACCTGATCATAAAGACCGCCATCACACGCACAGTTGCCATGCTCTGTGCTACAGTCAACAAGATTTTGCTCGGAAAACGATACCAGTTCCCCTGTTTTCCGGAAATGTTGCCCTTCCAGTGCTCCGACTGCACTGAATGCCCAGCAGCTTCCGCAGGAGCTCTACAAAATGCAGTCGTATTAAACAACACTGAAATTAGTTTTCGAGATTATGACGTCGAACTTGAGTCACGCCATGCCCATTGATAAATAAATGAATTTACCCTTGTTTCCTCCAAAATGCTTTCCTTGTGCAATCTTTTTAACTTACCTAGACTCTCCTTGCTTCTTCAAATCTTTGGTTGTGACTAGGCAGCAAACCATTATCAAGCACTCGATTCAAAATGGCTCTCTTAAACAGAGACCCTTATTCGAAAAAGGTTCTGAACTGGGAGGTTCTGAATTGAACCATTTCCCTTCACGATCAAACACGATATGCTGCCCACTGCAACAATGGCTCTAGGATTAGCCTGGCAACAAGTTTACTATGTATCTGCCCTACAGGGCGAAATACGCCTTTTTTTTCTTGCCTCCTCCTGTAGAAGCACGTCATTTCCTTTGTGACGGCTTTTTCTTTTGCTGGCTTTCTACGAGTTTTCCAGAGAGTGGTATCATCGTAATATAAAAAGGACTTTATCATGTTCTATTGTGTATATTTACTGAAAAACACTACAGCTCATCGAAAAAAATGCAAAATCTCGCTAGCTGCTATTTATTCATATAATGACTCAATTTGAAAATTCAAAACATACTTGATCCTTTATTGGTGTGACGTAACCTTCTTCACGCCAGTCGACTCGTTTTGGCAGTTTCCCGTTAACTTTCAATCTGACAATGTTTTTGGTTCCGGGCATCTTCCTCAAGTCGTTCCGAAAACCATTGCGCTTTTTCAACTCCTCTGGCAACTTAATTTTAATAGATAGTTAATAATTGTCATTCATTTTTGCACATTATCGTAACTGAGTGAAAAAAGCAACTCGTTTACTTTACTTTTTTATTGCTCATGTTAGTTTTCAGGCAGCAAACAGACGAAACAAATGCCAGGACCAATAGTAGGTTGAGGCGATACATCACTGGACAAAGTAATCGGAAAAGTTGTCATCTGTATAGACGAAGGACTGGATAATGAAATATGGTTGGTCAAAGTACCAAAGGAAATAAGTATTCAACAGATAACAGTTTGACCCATAAAATGGCTCGCTGAACTATTCTGAGATAGTTTTTTTATTTCAAACATTCACAATAAGAATTTCTTTAATGTTAAAACTCGACTCATTCGATCATAACAAAAAATAATAGTCCTTATCAGTTGAATGGCAAAAACAGCATTTTACTGCAGCGACTGCTAAACTGGACAGAATAGCCAAAGTTTTTCTTCTTAAGGAAGACATACCTTTGAAAAGCTTTTATCGATAAGAGCTTGCAACATTTTAGACAAGAAAATGAAAACTGACATTTTTTTCAATAAATAAAGAGGTTTTTCTCTGTTTTTCGAAAAATAGAAGCATCTACCTAGAAATCGCGAGAAGGAAAATTCAGTACCATATCAGTGAACTGATTGATGCCCATTTTGAAACTTTCTTTTCCGCGGCTGTAACGCTCGTTATGTTGGCGAATTTTGTTAACATTCTGAACAAAGGTCGCAAACCGACGATTTTCCACGTCGGGATTAGCTTCTTTCGTCTTATCTTAAATGACAAAAAAACCGAAACTCTAGCTCAGTAACTGCTTTAAAATCGGTTAAGTAAGCTATGAATATACTCTCTTGTGTGACTTCAGATGTTTTTGCCAAAATTAGACAACTTTCGGCATTTTTATTCGACTGAATGGAATCTTATTATTTACAAGTGTTCATGTTCCTGGAACAGCAAAAAAACTATTTAGTACAGCGGAGTTAGTGCAAAACGCTTGAAAGAGAAATTGAACTTAACATTCGAATCAGGACATAGTGATGTCAGCGAATTTAGACTAATGCTTAATGAAACAAACTCTTGAAATTATAACTTCTTAAAATTTTCTTCATGATAGCAATGCTTAGTGGACATAAGCGTTTCTTACCAATTACAAATATTTCATTACTCTCATTTCCTTTTTTCCACTTCGTTTTCCTTTCCTTTTTCTATTTCATCATTTTCTACCTTATCCTTCAATAGAACATGAGCTCTATGACCGAGCCAGAACTACATTTTCAATCAGCTTCAAAGCTTGAGACAGTCAACTATGCTCTGAACTGAAGTAAACGACACACACAAATACATGCACATAAGCTTACGCGTACATTACCTACACACACACACACGCACATACATACCTACACGTGCACACATATGCACATACCGTATATAGATGAGAGGCGAAAAATAAAAACGCTTACTGTATTCCTTCTTGTATAATTTGTAAGCAGCATAATGTTGCTTGACTTGCTCAGCTCCCAATTTCTGAGTCAACACTAAGTCAATTCTGAAATTTTGTAAATTAATTGTCAAAAATACGAAGGCTACAAGGTAAAATACTGAGACAAAAAATTTCAAAATTTCACAGAATTAAAGCCCTTGAGAGTATATGTGGTCGACAGACAATGCTTTGATTTTCACCTACTCCCGTGAAAATTTCAATGCGATACCCATATATGCTCAAGGTGCATAAATTAGTGCATCTTTCTCTGCTAGCACTTGACAAAAATCACTAATTGCCTCCAAACCACCTCTTTTCAATTCATTTTATCTCTTCAAGGCACTTGGTTATAAATCAGGAAGACGGGAGTAGAACTGCCTAAATTAGGGCTAAAAAGATTCGCTCCTCTGTGAAGGGGTTTATGCTACTTTAGGTTTTTCGAGACACAAAGCAATTATTCTTCACAAAATATCGTTATCTTGACCTTTGCTTTTGCTAACAGATAAATATTGAGCTTACTCTGGAGCAAATTGTTTTTCGATCGCTAAAACATCACTGTAGCAAAACAGGGCGGTAAGGACGGTGGCACAGAAAAGCTTCATTATGACCAGTAAAGCAGTACTCATTTCACAGTGCTTTATATGACATTTATCAGTACACAAGGCTCTTGTATTTGTTAAAATTCTTTAAAAAAATTTTTCTGTTTGGGAGCAAACATACAAGTGTTACTGATAACGAATTTTGACGCCAGTGACATAGCTTCATGTGACGCGCCTTTCCCACCTTACTTTCTGTTCATCTACCTTACCGAATTAAACAATTGCTCACATGCAAAATGCTATGGCAAAGCTGAGACTGACGAAGAGAAAAGACAAAAGGACTGAAGGAGTTGTGCGACTGGGAAAAAATGAGTTAAGATGTTTTGGTTTATAAAGTCACGAATGCCTTAGCGCGACATCGCTACTGAACTTGAAATTTCGGGCCGATTCCTGAGGAACGACATCTATATTCCTTTGAAGATGCTCCCATAAATAAAGCATGATCTTGAGAAAGAATGCCAAAGATGCAAACAGTGTGAGGCTTTGCTTTACGCATTCAATTGAACACACGAGTTTTAGAAATTTCTTGCTTGCTCATTTCAAATTTTTCAAATTAGCATAAATTAGAGTTTGCTATTGTAGTTCATGATGGAATGGGATAACACTTTTGTCATATAATAGGACAAAGGTTCAAACCCGCCGGTAGGACAATCAAATCCTTCACAATCCCTTCATTTGTTTCGTCCGTAAACTGAAACTCGCATAAGACAGAGAACCAAACCCATCAACAGCTTGCTTGTACGCAACTCTCGAAAAAGGGAGCTATCGATAATCTTGTCAGCGGGTGTTTGCATTTGGTGTTTGCTGTCGTTACGGGCTACTCCCTAAGTGCTTTCGTCCCACACTGAGAGCAGATATGGAGGAGATTTTTGAGCTTGGTTATAGGTCTTATCACAAAAGGACTTCGAAACTGATTTCAGAGTGATTTGATGAATTAATTATGTTACAGAATTTCAAATTTACATATTTTCAGCTCTCGATCAACATATCGGAGCGTAGGAGAAAGACTGAAATATGAATTCATTACAGGTTTCATTTCGTTTCTTCATTCACCAAACAGGACATATATACCTTTCATATACACATGTTATGTGCTAAGTACGGAAAAGAAAGAGAAGTCAGAAAAGCACAATGCAGTATTAAAAAATTGGCCAACGCACGGGCTGCCCGTGCGAAGATGCGTTTTTTGCAGAGTTCTCTGCAGTTT